TCTCTCTCTCTCTCTCTTTGCATGAAATGGCATGGCGACTGTCACAAGTCATTCAGTTCTAATAGCAAACTATGCGTGTTTCGTAATTCGAAATTTGCAATTGGCTATTTGTACGAGATGGAAAACGAGCTGATTCGATAATAATTCGGTCTCGTTATTTACTCTCTGCACCGATTCGTTAGTGAATCGGTTTTCAAAAACTCAAACTTCCTGAGAGCTTACTACGAATTGCATATTATGAAAATTGCATATTATGAAAAATTGCAAATTATGAACCGTGCGTAATTTGATATTTGCTTTATGAAACGGACGAGTAAACGAGCACGCATGTACATGTAGACGCGTCGTTGGATTTTTTAATTTTTATTTTTTGCCGTCGTGGTCATAGAACCGTCGCGAATAATCGCGAATCAAAGCGCGACGCGTTAGCGAGTGCGAGAGGAAAATTACCGGGCGCAGAAAGAGGATGCGTACCGGGACTTCCGCGATGAACCAAGACCGAGACAGGAGGTGTGCGCGATTGCATGACGTTCGCCGCGCGTGCAATGCCAGGCGGAGAAACGCATCCCTCTCTCGCGCGGTAAGAGGAGGCGGAAGGAGTGAAGAGACGTTTTGTCTGTTCGCGATAACGAGGAGATCCCGTGCATCGTACGCTGATGATCTTGCACGGTGCCGCTTCGCGCGCATGCACCTTGCTCTCGCCGCGGAAGCAATTGTAAATCGTTTCGTCGCTTTGTGCCGCGCGCGACTCGCACCTCGCGCGAATGAATTCACCTTTGGGTATTTGCCCGCCGTTGCGTTTTCACCCGCCGCCGAGGCCTTTGTTGTTCGCGCCGCCGCGGGACAATGACGATCCGCGAAAGCGACGCGATGCTTCTCGGATTACGTCGCGATATCATCGAGCACGATACATCGGTACCTCGGTGAGCATTCATCGAGCGAATTCGCGACGATTTATTCGACGCGATAAACCCTCCTCCGCTAGGCGGAACGTAGAAAGAGAGAGTCACCTTTTCAGCGTGACGTGTCCCGTACTTCAGAGATACACACACACACACACACACACACACACACACCCACACACATTTACATGAGATTCAGGCGAGTGGAAAGTTCACCAGGAAGCAAACAACGGTTTCAGTGTTTTTCTTTTTTTTACTACTATACTGTTTAATCATATTTTCGATTTATGACAGTAGTATTAAATATTAACTACGTCCTTCCGCATCGAAGCGAAACGTATAAAACTATTTCAATGCTCCTACACGCATATGATTAAGTCCCAGGTTTAGTCAACAACTCGATGAAATTAATTCAGGTCTCGCGATCAATTTTCGCTGGAAATTAGCGAATTATTTTATCAAATCGAATAATAAAAATATTGACGGATTCACAGTCACGTTGGGGTGACGTTCCTCGTCAGTCCAAGGTATCTGAAGCACGGTAATAAGGTAAAAGCGACGATCCCGTGTTTGTCGTGGGAACGAACAGCTACCAAACACCAATATGGTGTTTCTCTTTCTTTTCCGGCCGTGTAATTTCGTCGTCACGGCGCGAGTCATGCGTCTGCACGCGCGTCCGTAAAATTTTCACCGCACAATTTACAGGGTTAAAGGTGCCGTGGAAACCGGCACGTGCTACTCGCGCGCGAGGTTCGCGGTATCGCGCATCGCGCTGCCCATCACCGCGGTTATATATCACGTTTAACCGGGACCCACCGCGCCGTAGCCGCCGTCTTATCGCACTTCCGCTCACGTCTTCCCTCACCGCTCGTATACCTTGGTGTACCGTTTCCACCTTTCCTATGTTCGCATCGTTCCAGGGTCGATCCTACCCGCAGGGCCGGTAATTGCAGCTATTAGAGGCTCTTCCTCGAATCAGGATATATTTTAGTATCTCCAATGATAAAACCTCGGTCCGTCAATTTGAATTCAAAATTGCAGCCGATATCCCCAGTTATTTTCTCTCTCTCTCTCTCTCTCCTCCCCTACAAATACGAAAAATAACGGGTCGGTTTCCTCCTCGCGATATTGCAATTTTATTTCTGCGAGTCAACGAGGAAATCCGCCACCCATATCATCGAGTGAGAAAAAGAGATAGAGAGAAAGGGAGGAGAGATTCATCAACGTATTCATGTGCGGGACGTTTTTTTCCATACGCAACGCACGGTCACGCACTGGCTCGCGCTTGCGATAAAAATAAATTGAGGGAAAATCGTCCGGTGGGCAAGTGGACAGAGGAAGGCGAAACGAAAAAAGGAAAAAGAGAAAAAATATGGTTTTGGAATGCAGGAAGTGAGCCCCTCCCGTGCGAATAGGCAATGTCAAATATTTGTGCGTAACAGTTGCGTGCCGCACCGACGAATACGGTCACGCGCGCGTTTCCACGCTTCAGTTTGTATTCGATAAACGAAAAAACAGAAAAGAAATAAAAAGAAAATTGCAAAGACTAATATTTTTATCCCGTCCGGAATCCGGGTATAAACATCCGAGAGTATAAAAATTGCCTGTGATGAAAATGCCGCGATCATGACATTGATTGCCGTCGGTAAAAATAATTTCGGAAAAATAAAGATACGAGATAAATCATAAATATTCTAATATCCATTTGACACATGTCGAAACACATAATCGTGATGACTGCATAGCGCGCCGTCTCTCACGAGTCGCAAATGATTCGGAGAAGGACACAGACGCGAATGGATAGAAAGAAACACACGTTTGACGTAATATCCGTACACGTGCTTATGTCATTACGTGAATAATGTGAAGAACCCGGAGATAAGACGCCCGGAGATAAGACCAATAAGATATTAGTTCGGACAATATGCCGAATGATAATGTTAATTCGCGGTTATAAAACGCCAAACAATGTACATGTGTCTCTCACTTGCATCACTATTCACGCCGGAAATTTATGCGCACAACGTTAAATTGAATAAATTGTATTGTGATTACGTCCCCTTTTGCGCCCATTAAATCCATGTCCGAGAAACAATAGCTTTTCCTCTGCGAGAGCTCGAGCGAGTACGCTTTGTATGTACGATCAGAAAAATTCAAGAAAAATCTCGAAGCCATGTGCAATCGAGATGTGCGTGATTCATTCAGTAGTCGTGTGAAGTTCCTGCGACCGATAAATGCAATCGTATTGCACCGATAGTGCTGGCGTTATCATTTGCGAGAAAGAAATATAACGTAGCGTTATTCGTGCAGTACACGCATTGTAAGCTTGACACAACATTTGCTATTAACATAGTAAAAAATTCGTAAAAAAAATAGCTCTATTGAGTTACATTCGGGATAGTGCGCAATTACAATTTAAACTACTAAAATAGTCGTAGGAATAAAAATAAATTTTCAAGTACAGCCATTAAATTCAACAGCCGCCGAGAAGAAAAATCAAATGAATTTAGGAAGAGTTCTCATGCGAGCGACCTCGGAATTCTATCGAGTTGTCAATTCGGCGTAACGATAATAAATATTTGTTCAACGTGGCAAACGATACGATTTCAATTTCCAGTTTCGTTCGCTCATTCATACAATTCATGTTCGGAAAATAGAAACAAGGTCTTCGCGATAGACCGGAGGCGACATTGTCGCGGCATCGGCGGCGATGGTGTCATGGAAAGTACCGGAAAGTGCAAGCTAAAAACGCATCGTTTCGGAACGTCCGATTGTCGCAAGGTGCGCAAGATCCGAGCGCGTGCACGTATGCGTCTCGTTCTGCATCTTATGTAACGTGATACGCAACGCGCGAGAGGAACGGGGCGTTTCTGCCGCAAACGGAAATCGTATCCGCGTGTTACACGTGCGTTGCGTAAGAACCGTAAGGAACTGGCCGACGCGACGCGACGACAATGTCGACAACGTAATCGTATCGGCAAGTGTATGTACGACGTATCTACGTACAACGCAAACTTGGAACCATCTTCGCCTTCTCTTTTTCAATTATCGCGTCCCGTCTCTGTTTGGATTGAAAAGGAGAGGGCGAAGATTCATGAAAAAATGAACGAAGATCGAACTAATTCCCAATTCCAAAGAGTCCCTCTATGATTCACGTAGTTATTGAAGAATTATTATATTATTATTAATAAATGACTTTTTCTATAAAATTTTTTTCGGAGAATAGTGATAAAATCATCGTTCATTTGTTGACGATAAAATTGTCATCAATTAATGAATAAAATAATGAGATTTTATTGATATAATTTATATTATCATTAAAAAAAAATCATTTACTATCGACAATCATTCAATAACAACGTTAAGAATTACAAAATAGAGCCCTAAGTGTGGGCTGTGTGTCCCCTCTAGACAATTCTAGAAAGTATTTTGAGAAAGATTATTCTATACAATATTCAGATTATTATATACAATGGGGAACAATCGACACACTTTCCGTGTATGCACTTGCGCGTGTATACGTGAGCAAATTTTACGATCCCGCAATATAAATTGCAAATGAGATGAAAGTTCGTAGTGATAACATTTTGTATATACGCTGTAAAATTTGTTAGAAAGATGACGAAGATATTACAAAAAATTTAATATCTTTGATTACATCATGTTTCAAATGTCATTATTACGAAACCGATGTGAAATTCTGTGAATATCAGTATTGCCGGATGTCGGAAGCACTCGCCGATGGCGGAAAAATCCGCGCGTGGCGATCTGACTCGCCACAGGACGCAACGATCGCGCGATATCCGCGCGATGTGTTGTGTTGTTAAGACATACGCGCGTAATTCGGACGTAACGTTAGACCACGCTTCAGCGAGTACGCACCGGCCATTCATAAAGTCCAAGCTCGAGGCATCCTTCAAGCGGCTCGGCTCTGCTTGGCTCGGCCGGTTGCGGGAGAACGCGTCGACTAGCCGGCCGGTTGGTCGGTCGGTTCACTCGATTTCATTCATTTGCCGGATAATCGTCGTGTTCCTGTTTGCAGCCCAGGGACGTGCCAACGAGTGCGAGTGCTCGTACTCAAGGTCCCGGGTTCCGGGCGCTCGCCAGATCGTGGAGCATCAGCTCGCCGCTCGTCATTGTCTTCCTGCGACAGCTGTTGCATCGTCGCCTCGCTAAGCGAACAATGTTTGTCGTATAAAGTTACTTGCGCACATTGAAATAACATAGAATTTACTAATCGACCCGTTTGTCGGCCCTTTACGACGATTAAGTCATTGCTCTGATCAGATTTTATGAAATTACTAACTACCTTTAGTGTTCATTGCGCTCTGCGGAATTTAAACTATACGCATCCTCTTCGTGGCAGTTATATTCTTATTTGCAGTTTAAATCATGCAGGAAACAAACACGTTTCGAAAAACAATACATAAATATTATAAAGGTCATAATCTTTAATTTTTCAGCATGTCACATTACGAAGAATACAAAAATATGTCTTAAAAAAACAAAATTGACTCAATGATACAAACAAACAATGAATTGAACAAGACAAATAACTACTTAAACTAATAACTTGTAAATTATGTATAAACTTAAATTTAACAAACTACTCAAACATTTAATCAACAAAATTTTGTTACGTATTTTTAAAAGCAGTCAAAAGATTCCAAATTTTTATCCGACATCCCTATTTTTCCAAACGCCAACTGATTTAATTCATTACATAATAATCGTCCTTCTTTGCTCTCGAATAGGGGAATTCCACTTTTGCCGCGACGCACGGCCTCACATGGCGCGAAATTAACCGGCTCCGCGCGCGCGGAGCGATGCGTGTACGGCGCACGTGTGCCATGCACGCACACGCGGGCCATGCCAGCCACCAGTAATACCCTCGACGTACGCGCCGCGTCGGCTCGGCCACGGTCATCTCGGGACCTTCTTGCGCGGCCCACTCACATGCACGATCCGCGATACGCGTACGCGTACGTTAGCGAGGCGGATTACGCAACGGCGTAATGCGATTGCAAGCGTCGCGCGTAGACTGCAACGCGAGTTCCAATAACCGATCGGCCGCTCTCGCCTTTCCCGCACAACCTTAATAAATCTCTCGTCGTTCATAAACGCGAGAAACACATTCGATCAGAATCGAATAACAAAAGAACAGACTGAACAAAATTTAGCTATTGTTCTTCGTGTCAGACCTGGTGGGGCCTAGAACGGAAAACATATTAAATCGCTCTGGTTGCAAGAGCTCTCGCGAATAATCGCGATGCCCCATCGTAATTATTTTTCCAGAACATTAACGATTCTACGAGAGACAATAGTCGAGTTTTTTTTAGTGTTCGTATTTTTTTATTTTTTTTTTTTTTTGCGAGCGCATGATGCACGTTGAAAATAATTGTTCCGAACGACTCCTGTCTCGCAAAATTTAGGAATAAATGCGGATAGATACGCGACTTTCCTCGAAAGGAAGTAGATACCTTATCAACAACGATTGATTGCATACGATGAATACCAGAAACGTACGGGAGAGATACGCGTTCTTATCGCGCGGTGAATTTATTTGCAAAATTGGGTTTTTTCCCCCTCGAACAATTCTGAAAGCGCTGGTAACGTCGACGATAAAAAGTAAAAGTAAAAGACAAACGCGCCGTGTCGATGAGACGATCCATCGAGGGATGATGTCGAGCGTAGAGGAATATAACAGCGCGCGATCATGCAGCAAATCTGAAATGCGATTATCGATTATTGGCGCACACTTATCAGAGAGCAGCCATCTCTTGATTCTCGTCGGCGCTGCTCTCACCGAAGAGCTCTCTCACGAAAACGACTATGGCGAATGCTGTTGCTTGTCGCTTATGTAATTCGGAGCGTAGTATCGTTCTCGTGATTTAATGACGTTGATATCAACGCGCCATCCGGTATTAATCAGACGTTCTTTTAACTCAGCGATCGATTAACGGTCGAAACCAACGTCACCTGCCGGAGCTTTAAAAGCTTCTCGTTAAACATATGTATCGATTTAGATTTCTAAATAGATTTCAGTAAGTTGTATTGTAATAAATTAAATTGCGTCATATGTTATCCGATTATATTTATTATATTCTTTTCTGTGTACTAAGATAAAAAAATTAATATATATATATATATATATATCGAGAATAAAATAAAAATAATAATTAATGATTTTACTTAATATTGCAATACAAAATTAATATAAAATTAACAAAGAATAAAGGACGATTTGACGAATGACGTTAAATCATTTTTCTTGTATTGCACCATCGAGGTATAAATGATGAAGTAGAAACGATGTGTCGCGCGAGAGCTAAAAAGGAAAGTTACCATTGGCATCTATGGATGTGTCACTTGACTCGCGCTAATAATCGATCGGTTGCCGATCGACCTTCGAACGTTGAAATATTGCGCACAACGTACCTGCGGCAGTCCAACGCGTCCAAGGTCCCGTGATTAGTAGGTCACAGTGTACGATACGTCGTTTAGTCGAAGGCGATTGTTTGCAACACAATCAAACGTGACGGATCCAATTATCCAGCGCGAAATTAATGAATTCGTGTTCAATGACAATGCGAAGAGAAAAGCAGTTTTGTACGAATGTAAGCGAAAATAAACTTAGCGATACAATTTAGTCAATTTAGTCATGTCTATATTAAGTATTTATGTTTTAGTCACATCAAAAATGCAACTGAAAATGAATATTTGGTTTGTATAACAAATATTTATATAACAAATATTTAATAATTACAAGAAATACAATTACAAAAAATAAAATTACAAAAATTACAAAAAATTAATAATTCATAAAAAATGTATCGCATTGCAAAAAGTATATTTCTAATATTTATTAAATAAAATTCGAAACAAAATTTCAATAATATCCGACATAATATGTAAAATTTCTGTCATGTGTTTCAGTATCCAACTCTTTTATTAATTTAGAAAGAAATCTTTTAGGTTTTTTCAAATAAAATGAAATTAGAAGAAATAATATTCTCTTGATAAGAAATATATATGACGAAATTTTTACGTTTAGTACATAATCGACAGCGGATACGCGATTTCCAACTTTGTTGCTTCGAGCGATAACGAATTTAAAATCGACTAACAAATTCTTACGGAGAGGTCCGGCGTTCTCTCGACCGAAATTGACTGTTATCGATGCGATAAAACCAGATTTATTTCACACATGAAACAGATTAAACTACCGTGGCTTGTCGTATTTCTCGGTGCTCGATTTAACGATCCGTACGACGATATAAACTATATCGCAACGTGTCGTAATTATTTATTTGAGCCTCCATCAAAATACAAAGGCTTTATACTGATCACTCGAAATGTCATTTCTCTCATTCAAATACGTGCAAACTTCATCATTTCATACTTTGCGCCAATTAACTTTAAATATCATGTATTAATTTCAAATATAGCATATAGAAGATTATTGCAAATATAAATTATAAATTATATTTACATCAAAACATATCGTGAATTACATAATTAATTGTTTATAATTTCACATTTATGATTATTAGGCATTGAATTAATATCGACACAGCAGCATTAATAATATTGACATAATAGTCATCAAAATTAACATAACGATAAATCTGTCACGCAGATGGAGCGTGGTGAAGTGTAAAATGAAGCATAACAAAGTAATGACTTATTTTTTCGTAATAACGAATTTCGAATAAACTAATTCACGTCAAAGGGGTACAAATTTTTATTTAATTTTTAATTTAATTAAATAAAAAATTTAATTAACGTATCGCTTGTCACATAAGAACCACATTTTATTAAAGAGACGGATCGAACATTCGCAGTCTCGCGTGAACAACCTTGAGTCGGTGCACGTCTGCAATCGTCCTGACGATTATTTAACGGCATGAGCGTTGTCGACGTAACGACAGCATAATTTACGATGTTACACTATAGCGCAACGTGTCATCCCCTCTCTTTAATATTTCTCGTCGTGCGACGTGGATCGGTGTCCTTGAATTTTTCCTTCCGGTCGTGTCATAAATTTTGACAGTAGAAAATAGACACGTGACGCGCACGATGCGTCTATTGTTCAGCGCCCACGAAAGGAAATTATGTCATTAACTGCGTGTTCCAACAATATTGCGGTAAGTACCACGAGTACGTCCTCATAAAGCCAATTGTTTTCTTATTAGCCCCCCATCTTTTCTATCATACCCACGCGAGGATATCACACTCGAAGTATATAGTATTCACAATATACATAGTTGACCATGGAAAAAGGAGGAGAGTTGAATATCGATTTTAATAGTTAAAAATCTCTAATCGCGTATTACATTTGGCATCCTAAAACCTGTTACAAAAGTTTCGAATGTATGCAAATATTTCGTTCTCTTATCTCGATGCCTTGTCGATGGCACGATTGATAGCGACAAATGGTCTATTTTTTCTAGCTTCAACCACACTCGTTGTGTATTTAAAATAAAATAGATGTACGTTTGATGAAAGTAAGATGGAAAGGAAAATTTTAATGCAGCTCAGTGCAGAAAAAGAGAAAAAAAAAAGAAACAAATCTAAAAAAGTCAGCAGTCTAAAAAAGATTTTCATATTTTATTATGCAAAATGTATATATGTTAGCTGATCTATAATAAAAGTATATCATTTCGTCATCTATGTCTGAAAATATGTATGTATGTAGAAGGCAAGACTCATCTCGATCTAGTGGAATAATACTGGCAGCAGTCAGCCAGTCGTGATGTGCAATAAAGCGCAGCGCGATAAAAGCGGTGATGGCTAGATAGTGGTGGAATAGTACCGGTAACGATTAGCTTGCCTCGTGGTCGGACGCAGTATCTTAATTCAGCGTAACGACATCTCTTATTACGAATTTTCCTGCGACGGCACGTTTTCGCGCGACGTTTTCCGTAATTAACTCGTCGCTTATTACGCAATTTCCGAGAGATGCTCGTAAACGGTTCATATAAATCCGGTTCTTAACGACGCTCTTAAATCTAAATTAATTCCCTTACGTGCTTTTGAACATCCCTGCCCATCGTGGTACGATAATTGATTATTATACCGTTGGAATCGCAGTGACTGCAAAAATTAGTTTCTTTATCTATTATTTGTTGTAATGATTATATTGAGATTTACGTTACATTCGTATGCGTACTGCGAAAGAGTGAAAAATATAGTGGATATTCAAACGACATATAATCTAATCTTCCCTTCAATGTAATATGAAAATATATTTTTAACCTTACTTATTTTAGATGTGAGATCATATTCATAATTAGAAATAAAAATATGATAATATAACGCTACTGCTACATTGGACAACAGGAGTTTCTTTAATGCAAGAGAGAATAATTCAGAGATTAATTTGTATAAGCCGTATAACATCATAAACAGAATGCCTAGAATCATGTTGATAAATAAGATTCGATAAATCAGAGTTTCTCCGTCTAATAGTTAGATAGTCCAAAGTTTCAGGTGCTTTACTCGCTGTCAGTGAGATTAATCATAAGGCATCAATTGATCCGAGAAGACTTAAAGTTTAATGAATCTGTCGTCATACCGCATAAATAAATTTTTCATCTGATCGTGGCGCTAAATCGATTACCGAGGCGCACATCTAAAAATATCGTGTCGAAAAATGTATGACTGAAGTTAGACGAACTAGTCGTCAACTCGCGATTGGTCAATCGAACATATTGTTATGGCGAAAGAGGAAGAAGAATACGACGATAAAGAGGAAGAAGAAACAGAAGACGGGCGAGCCACTGCCAAAAGCAGCGGTGTGGCAATCGGTTCTTTTACGCTCTACCAGCTCAGCTCTTCCACTCTACCCTAGTTTTAATTTAAGACCACCCCTTCAAATGTCACGAATACGCATTCCGTTCCGCGCCGCCTCGCCGCGAGATTGAAAACACTGCTTTCATGTAGGCGTCCGCTGTTGTCTGATGGTGCGTGTCAATGTTTCTTATGTCCGGACGGCTTCTGTCCGTCAAACGAGTCAGGCGCTAACAAAAACCAGATTCCGCTAATATTTTCTACTACAATTTCACAAATATCCTGAAAATACAATCTACATTTGATTGAAGATATCTCATAAAATCGTTGACAAAGCGCCAGCGTGCGAACAAGTAATATTTTATTTTTATTTGATACTTTATTTTTTATTGTTTATTGGGACTTGATAATCAATTCTAATACATTATTTAGATCAAGTACAAAAAATTAATAATTATTAACGAGGTGAACTCGTTGGCACGACAGCGTGTGCTTCAACTATCTATCGACGTCTCGTCTATAAAAAATTTCATTTTTTGCGCATCCAATGAACATGAGTTAGTGACAAAAGAAGCAAGTATGTTTGTCATACAGGATTACATATAAAACGAAACAAAAAGAGTTGAAAGCAATGTTTAAAATTACTACTCCCGGGCATTTTAGTCAATAGTCTTAAGGACTCTAGAAATTTCTGAGATTTGACGAAATTCAATCCCTTTTAATCACGAGTAGTTACGAGTATACTCTTTTTCTCTCTCACTCTCGTAACTCTGATCTGAATCTTCTCGTGCCTTCTCGTGCCTTCGTGCGAAGTAAAGGTGCAATTTCTAGTTTACGAGCGAATGCGACTGACGAGAACTCCTCCGAGGACTGCGAGGAGGACTAACCTTGTTGCCGCTACCCGACGGCATAAAATATAACCGCGCTGAGCGAATTAGAGCGAATATATTCTTCTTTTTTTCTTCAGAGCACGCTTCATGACTGCCGTCACTCCTGCGAAAGTTGATGGGACCAGCGGAATGGTGATGATGGCGTGACAGCCGAAGTAACTTGCTTAGAAAGTTCACCACTACTAATGTGCATAGTAATGAAATGCACCAACATGAAAATAAATTATAGAGACTATAGAGAGATACTATTTTAAATAATATCAGATATTCTAAATCGAATCGAATGTGATGGTAGCGATTAAGATGCAATTAAAACGTTCTTCGAAAAAATATTTTTTATCAAAAGTTTCGAGAATGCGTGCATGTGAAACCGCTCAATGTATTATTTATGTTTATTTACAAAATTTATAACGCGTAATCTCAAATATCTACTTTTTTCGCTATCTCTGCTTGATACAGATAAGTACATAGACGCCGCTTTCTTTACTGATTAATTTGCAGCGCAAATTAATCGATAACGGCCATGGCGCTATCTTTAGAATTTCGAACAACGCCAAAAAACGTTCGATCCAGAAATCCCGATCGATCTGTCGTCGCACGACGGTGCCGCCTGTCGCATTTCCGCGCGTTCTCTCGAAGCGGTAATAATGACGAAACGTCCCGTCGAGTGCCACGTCGACCCACATTTATAAATAGAAGAGAGGTCTCATCTCCGAGGAGGCGAAGGTGTGCGCCGTGTGTCATCCCAGGAATATCACGGCCGACCGAGTGACCGGCTGTGCCAGCGTGAATGAGACTCCGACCGTTACACGCATGCATGCGTGCCGTGTATGCATGTACGGAATACAGAGTACAAAACTTGCTCAACATATATAAGAAATTTCTTTTATCTGACAGAAATCATAAAATTAATCCGCTCTTATATTCATAACAATCAAAATCGATCAAAATTAGATTAATCACGCATATATTTCCATTTTTTCAGATCTAAATTTCGTTTAATATAAACAGCCGCGATTCGAGCCGTAAATCTGGACGCAAAATCTGTACGTGAGATTTTTTTTTTTTTACGTAAACCATATAAAAAAAATCGGACTTGAATATGTAACGCAAAAGTGATTCCATAATGGAATGCGCAACGCTTCTGTTGTCTTTAGCGATGTCATGTCGATTATATAACGAACGCGAAAAAGCTAGAACTTACGATCAAGAACTATGCAAATTTTACAGAAATCTGATATCGCAAATGAATATAATCATTTGAATCATTGTCTTAAATATCGCGCAGCCTTTCGTATTAATAATCAAACTCAATGATCTAATTTCAATATATTTTCATCAAATATAAAATTGTCGTCAAACGCCACCTGATTGGTTGTGCAAGATTAAATTAAATTTCTTATAAAAATATTCCCTACCTTTACCTCCATCCTCTCATATATTTACTACACTTGTACTCGGATGTGCGATAAGATATTGTATAATAATAGATCTGTAATCATTTCTTATTACGTCGAGTGATATGCAGTAACTCGTAGCGTAGATCGTGATCGCGCATTCGCTTCGAAAAGATGCCAGGAAGAAAATCTTGTGATTTTTGCGGTCCCGTAATAAAGGCGAATGCGTGCCAGCTTTCGCAATACTTTGCGTGCGGCAATGCTGGCGCGGGAAATGCCGCTATGGCGATTTATCGTCGCGCATCACGGGAACATTAGGAGGATCCGCTTGGCGATATAGCTGAAACTTAAAATCAACGTGGTGTGTCGTAACAGCCGCGAGACTCACGAGCGTCCACAAGAGATTGGGGAAGAACGACCTCGCCGTATTATTAGAGGCGTTATTATATATTTGCATTACGTGACGATATGTATACGTGTGTCTCTTCGACGCTGCGGCGTCGCTTTTCATTCCAATCGCGTGCGTTGTTAAATGTCCGAAGTCATTGTCGAGAAGTCATCGTAGACTAGAGAGGTATTAGATTTCGCGAACGCGTTTTTTTTTACAAATTCGTAGCGATAGAAAAAAATTCTAAGAAAAATATATAAAGAAGACGCGTGTTGGACTTCTCCTCTGGGAGATATAGAAAATATTTATTTCATATTGTTTAACGATCAATTCATGTATTCAATGCACGTATAGTCTGTAAATATAAGATAAGATAAAGACTTCGAGATCTTTGATGGATCGCTGTCTTATTTTGAACCTTCAATAATACATAATCGATATCACTAAATTGAGACATTTTTTGCTTTAATCTCCAAATAAATTTCATGCCAAAATACAAGTTGATTCTATTCCGATCTATTGCCGTCGCGACATTACATTAGCAACTTTGTTTTTGCATCCCTTCGTTTCTCCGTTGCGTTGTGCGTGTGTCAAATGAGCCATCGACTGTCTGCCGTTTTGTTAACTTACGCACCACGGGCTTAACGTGGAAGTGAAAAATACCATCTGGAAGTCAGCCAGTGAAACTATTTCCAGAGCAAGTAGCATAAATAGCGTTGTTGTGGTGAACGGATGCTTTCGCAGTGGCCCTCGCTCAAAGTGAGAAACATTACAATTCGCCAAGTATCAATTTGTAATATTGAGAAAAAAATAGCGCGATATGTATTTCTAGAGAACTTGCCTTTAAATGAGAAATAATGCACGGAGTATCGATACAATTTTATAATTTAAATGCTGCATAAAAGTGCTGCTTAAACATTTCATAATACATTTTAAATGTTTCAAGTTAAATTAAAATTAAAATTTCAAATTTAATCTTTTAATTAAAATTTTAATATCATAACATAATACATCAGGTATCCATTTATACTTATAAAAGCCATAAATTTAAATTTATAATTAGTAAATTTATCAAATTGATTTAACAAATTGTATTAATAGATTTTAAATTTAGGCCACATATCTTTAGAAAGAGACTTTGATAATACGTTCGTATTTAATTGCACCTACAACCTGTTTTCATACTCATCGCGACACTTCCCACAAGGTACACGGAAATATCGTCGCGGACATGCGGTAGTCCATGCGGTTTAAACAGCGTACTTTTGCCGCTGATAAGCGGAATATGATCGAGCTCGTAAATTCCGCTTATCAACCGAATGTCAAGTTGGTCAACTGGATTTGCGGTAGACCGAGATGAATGGTAACATCCCGCGGGTTAAACGTTTTATCAGGAATCAATAGGCTGATATCAAAGGCGCGCTGTACTACGTTTTACTTCGTAATTACGTTTTACGTTCGTAATTGCAAATTGCTCTTATCGGATCGATATACACGCCGTACACGCTTTTTCTCCCTGTGATATGAAAGAAAAGAATTGCGTTCGTCGTATGTTCCGTTGTCAGTCCCAAGAAGTGCCGTTTATCGCGCTAATCGCGGCTTCAAATCGACGATACTGGTTGCCATTTCCGAGAAGAAATCGCGACAGACGGCTAATATGTATCATTGTGATCTCTCTGCCGGGATTTACATAACGCGGAATAAATCCGCGTCGACGCGATAGACGAGCGCTAATGAGCGTATCATGAACACGCCAAAGGTTAATTGCGAGACTTTACTTTTCCGTAGGATCATCGTATGTATTTCGTGTTATCTTGCTATTATCTGAGGAAACGCGCGTCGCGTCACCTGAGAACGCGAGATCGAACGCGAGAGATTTCCGCGATTCTTTGTGCATGCAACACGGCGCGGCTATTCCGTTATCTGGCGGCAGGAAAGTTACCTTATTGTTCGCCCGTGGAGATCTATCTCTGTTCTACTCTTGAGTTTCGAACACGTTCTCCAGCTGCAAGCATACACAAAGAAATGCTGGTTATATATTTGCGACGTTAACACATTAAACTGCATATCGATTATCAATCGCACGCATGAGCTAACGAATCAATTTTTATTGCGGCGGAAATAAACCGCCGCGGCTCTCCGCTTAATAAAAGATCGTAACTACATCCACTTTACGCTTCGTCGGAAATTTTTTACAAGACGCCATAAACCTCCGAGATTTAATCCCCGTGTGCTTTTTTCACCATCATCCACCAAGTTACGAGGTATTCCCATTTGTTCATAACGATCGCTCAATCTCGAATGTGTGCGTTAAATTTTTACATTCGTAAAAATTTAACGCGCACGTTTTTAGCAAGACGTGATGAATTTATTGCACGCTGATCAAAATTGCAATAAATTTATTATGTCTTACATAGCATAGAACTTATTCATTTCCAAAAACTATAAACTATTTAGAAAGGATCGAGTTGAGCTAATATTAAAGAACCGCGTAAAGTCCCCTTAAAAAAAGCTATTCGACGAAAATGAAACAAAGTTGCTTAATTGCGGAAAAAAAGCAGACGCGGATTGCGCGGAATGAAGCTAATAATTACAAGCAACCGTGAACTCCAAGTAGTCACAAAGTGTTATTAGTAAAGTTCACAAGTGAAAGTTTGTGCGGCTATGCGTGCACAGTCGCGTGTTGCTATTATCGAAGTTGTTTATGTATTTATACAAATAACTGCGAATTATCATTTTCATTGAGAATTTATGAATGGTATGTGTGCCAATTTTCTAGATTTTTTTTATTCTCTAGATTATTCTATTCTCATCAATCTCGATTTTCCTGCAAAAATTTCTGCATTATTTTTTAATTGTCAATAACTTGTCAAATAGTCAAATACATTGACATAGTACATTAACAAAAAAGTAAAACTATGAATAAATTTAAAGAATTCTAATAATAAATTTTAATATTAACAACATATAGAAGAATAAATGCGTAAATGCTTGAAAGAGTCTAAACGATGCCTAAATGAAAATTTCTCGAATAGTTTCTACTATGACATTTTATCTAACAATTTAATTTTTATTATACACACACGCATTCTTTTTCTCTTCAAAATTACGCGAAAAGGTATTCTATAAAAAATATGGGAAAAAAATTATTGACAATAAGTTTCTCATTCAATATGTTTTAATAGCGTGCGTTGAAGGTGTATTTTTATTCTCGCACATTCTACTCGTTTTCGATTTTACGACTTCCTTCGAGAAAGCGTCAATAGTGATTCAGCGATGCGCATGTAAATATAAACAATAGACTTCCCGTTATCTTTTGTTTGCGCGTATTATCGTGCATTTAGGAAACACAGATGATGCAGAGATGCCGTCGACGTTGTTAAAAAACAACGGCGGCTCTTAATGTGCTTTTATGACGTGCGCCCAGAGGAATGTCGTAATCTCTACTCGACGAGTCGTCGAGGAAATTTCGCGAAATATACCCGTGAGCGTGAGTCACGTTCTCCGGACGGCTGACCTGATCCAATTTCGAAATAATCCCCGAAAGAAGGAAAAAAAGAGAATTCGTTCGCGACCGCGCGACGAAATACAATCATGGGGGGAAAAAGCAGCCGGCTGTTTCGCGTGCGAGAGTCAAAAATAACACTCGCACCATGCTTCACAACAAAAATTCTAAAACGATAAAACGCGCACGGACGACTGCGTCGTGTCATCGACTATCAATGCGCGCGCGCGCGCGCGGATCACTTTCCGCTGAAATACTTCTAAAAAGCAGCCGAGGTACCGAGAGAGGAATTTTTCTCGTCACATACGACGTGACATCCCGCTTCGTTTTCGGCGAGATGCTAAAATTCCATAGATATTTTCAAAGAATCGATATTCTAAAAGCAAACGATAACTTAACGTTACCGTGATTGATCACCGGGAAGAGAAGCTTGATCGACATATGTACCTGACATGTATTCGATGTGTAATGATATCGAGATCGAATACAACAACAGGAAAGTCAAATACGTTATTGATGTAATCACACTGGTCGACTTTCGTCGCGCGAAATTCTGGCGTTTCATGCAAAGTGGCAGCGATCGCTTTCATAATAGTGAGCGTGTTACAATCGTCGTGAGAGTCGATGCATTTCTTGCTAAACCAGAAGTTTCAGGCGTGAGTGACACGACGCGAGGGAAAGTGATCGGCGGTGGTCCGTCTATCAATAAAATAGAATGTCCTTTTTTGCTGTCGTTGCGGTATGATACAATCATCTGTCGACAGCCGACGTCTGATTGGACTCCGCTCTGGATCTGGGGATCGAAATAATTCCATTTCGTACCACGAAATCGCATTTTCGCCGACGAAAAAAGGATTATCATTTCCGTCTACTGTTCTTATCTGTTATTTTATACAGGTGACGCAAGGATAATAGATAATCAGTTTTAACGATCAGTTTCGATTCTTCATTGTAATCTAATCATTAGAAATTTAAGTTGTGTGTATAAAACGATCTAAAATATCAATATAAAAAGAGTAATATATAAAACGTAACAGTTATATAAAATGTGAATAATATAATAATGATTTAAAACACACTATTGTAATTCAATAATATTGTTTGAGGTAATTATAAGAAAACTTCCTTGCGTAACAAGCGTAAAATACAGGAAAGTTACGATTTTTATGCAACAACAATTGACGCGATGGGTATTTGCAATAATATTCGAAGTGGTCGCGTGCACAGGTTTGCGGGCGAAAATACAAGAGCCATCTCGCGTAATCAAGTAACTTTCTCGAGTCCTCCAGGGTCAACAGTACGTCGAGCAGACGCAAAAGAGGCCAATCAGGCATCAAGGCTAGTCTTCACGGCTCGGCAATAAGGGAAAGTACAAGAGGCTTTCAACGGAACGATCCTTTAAGGGGCACGAGGGTAGTTTCAACGATGGCAACGGGGAGGAAAATGAGGAGAGACATATTGATCGTACCGAAAACATTCGGCCCAGAAATGGGATCTTCTCCTGCATCTCTCCGGCTGGTAAAGAGGAAAAACACGAGAGATTGGATCTGAATCCCCGTATATATCTCGTGAGAGAATTTATTTGGACGTGAAAGTGAGAACAACGTGAGTATCGACGTATCGAAATTAAGACGCTTTGACTACATCGCCGAGATTTAAATTAACGGCGACAGCTCGAAATCTATCATGATCGA